GTCTGTCTGCCTGTGTGTGTCTTTCTGTCTGCTTGTCTCTCAGTCTCAAAGAGTGGCTCATAAATCAACAGGTATTACACACGATGCAGAAGTGATAATGCATATTACTTGCCAGTCATGCTTTTTATGTCTTATATCTGCAAGCACTGTTTAGCACTTTGCCTGGAACTTTTGGGTTATCCTAGGTAATTTACATTAGGCATAATTGTACTTATGTGTACATGTGAGAGAGAGACAGAGATATAGACAGATAGAGATATAGACAAATAGAGATATAGACAAATAGAGATATAGACAGATTTAGACAGACAGATATACACAGTCGGAGAGAGCCAAAGCCAGCCAGCCAGCCAGCCAGCATTCAGCCACCTAGCCAGCCTACTGAATACGTATTACACATATTCCAGAATCGTTTCTCTTTACTTAGGGCATAGTTTATCAGACATTCTGGCAGAATGACACTACCAATAGTATCAGAAATGAGAGGATGTTGCACAAATGTTACAAATGGGTTATTATTGAGGTTTTTTATATTTCCTTGACCAATTGTGGCCACATCCATCACTTTCCTATTAGAAGGGGAGTGTTAATACGACATGACATCATTGAATCCCTGGTGTTTCAACTTCAAATTCAAATTTATTTATTTCTTTGCAAGTAGTACATTGAGGTTATGTATTTACAATAATGGGTTGCAGTGCAAAGAGAGCCTCTATTATGCCTAGGCATTATGGGCCAACTTAATTTAATGGCTTACTGACTACTTAATACTAGAAAAAATTATCATAGTTGTACAATAGTTCTATTTATTATAAATGAATCTAAGTTATATAAACCAAAGGATACATTCATATTTTCAAAAATGCTTTTTATGAAACATGATTCAATTATATTCCTGTGGACAATGGACAATAGGTTCAAAAGTAATTATTGAAATTATATTATGGGAATATAACATTGTGATTTGCTAAAGGTAGTTTACAGTATGAGAATGCTACAATTTGGTGTAGGGCAATACTGTTTTGGGTAGGTATTTATACTACTATGTAGTATTAGTCAATGTATGAACTTTGTCGTCTTAGTCTTGAAGTTTTAAGATTTTGGTGATTGGAGGATTTATTGGTAAAGTTAAATATTGAGTATTTAGTCTAGGGTGATTAACCCTTGCAGGGTCCAGAGGCCAAATTTCGAAGTGTACACCGCTACTTTGAGCTCAGTTTCAAGCCATTTCCAGTATTAAAATCAATCAAAATCATCTCTATTTCTGTAATATATCTTCCATTCTATCAAATGAGACCAAGAAATTGCAAATACAACTATAAAAACATATAAAAAACACTGTAAAATCATTGTTTTATTCAAAAATTACGGTCTCAGTTTTTTCTCTCATTATGCACTGTGTGCTGCAGGGTATGTTTTATGTGGTGCACACTTACCACATAGATGTATTCTCTCATATCTAGGCCCAAATATACCACTCACAGCTTATCAGAGTGAGCTGAGCTCATGATGTAGATCTACGGTTTGGACCCTCAACTCAAAGCTGTAGAACTACGGCATGGACCCTGAAAGGGTTAAGTGGTTTTTGAGAAAGAGTCTTAAATTGATTTTCAGACCGGGTTTCTTTAGTATTTTCTGGTAATGAATTCCAAATTTTGGGGCCCTTTATGTGCATCGAGTTTTTACACAGTGTGATATGGACACGAGGTACATCAAAAAGAGGTCCGTGTCTTGTGTTATGGTCGTGTGTCCTGTTGAGGTTGGTGAGGAGAAGTTTGAGTGGAGGGTTTATGTTTGCGTGTATTGTTCTATGTACGTAATAGGCACATGAATAAGTATGGATGTTCTTCATGGTGAGCAGATTTAGACTTTTGAATATTGATGGGGTATGCTGTCGGGAGTGAGAATTTGTTATCATTCTGACTGCAGCCTTTTGCTGTGTTATTAGTGGTCTTAGGTGATTTAATGTTGTTGGTCCCCATGCACAAATTCCATATGTGAGATAAGGGTAGATGAGTGAATGATACAGTGCAAGGAAAACTGATTGTGGAACATAGTACTGTATCTTTGATAGTATGCCTACTGTCTTAGAGATTTTCTTGGAAATTTGTTGTATATGTGTCTGGAATTTTGGGCTACTGTCATGGTGGATTCCTAGGAATTTTCCGTCTGTGAGTCTTGTGATGGGTGATCCGTTTAGCGTTATGTTAAGTTGACCATATACAGCTGTTTCCAAACTGAATGAAATAGGTTTTGTCAGTATTCAGGTTAAGTTTATTAGTCATCATCCAGGCAGATATTTTCTGCAATTCGGCATTGACAGTATTGGCGAGTATGACTGGGTTTGGGTGGGAGAAAACGTTTATTGTGTCATCTGCAAGTAATATGGGTTTGAGTAGCTGTGATGCATTCGGTAGGTCATTGATGTAAATGAGAAAGAGGAATCGTCCAAGGACACTTCCCTGTGGGACTCCTACTGTGATTGGTTGAGTGGAAGAGTTTGCACCATTTGTGTACACATATTGGCTTCTGTTACTAAGGTATGACTTTAAGTAGTTGAGGGAGTGGCCTCTTATACCATAGTGTGTTAATTTTGTGTGCAGCAGTTCATGGTCGACTGTATCAGAAGCTTTATGTAAATCAATTAAAATTCTCAGTGGGACATCTTTCTTCTTGAGAGCTGTATATATTATTTCTAGCATGTGTATGATAGTATCATTTGTGCTTTTATTATTCCTGAATCCAAACTGACAGGTGTTTAGTATGTTGTGTGAGACAAGGTGGGAATCTATGAATTAATTTTTCAAATATTTTAGAGAGCAGTGGTAAGTTAGATATTGGTCAGTAGTTATTCAAGTCAGCTTGGTCACCTCCTTTGTGGACCGGGGTGACCCTCGTTAGTTTGAGAGTCGCTGGGAAGGTGAAGGATTCAATGGATTTGTTAAAGAGTGTTGCAATAATTGGTGACAATACTTGAGAAGCTTTTTTGTAAATAAAAGTTGGCAAGTTGTTTATGTCTCCTGCGTTGTTTTTAAGGGTGTTGATGATGAGCGAGACTTTTGTTGGGTTGGTAGGAGTTAGGAATAGTGTATTCAGGTATGTGCCCATGAGGTAGTCCCTTTCCCTCTTACCACCCATTACCCCTGCATCCTTCCCTGCTGTGCTGTGCTGTATAACCCTTCTGGTTTAGCGCTTCTTTCAGATTATAATAATAATAATCCGGACAGCATCGTTCGAGGGCATTTATTATCTTCAGCTAGCATTTTTATGGCTGAATTGTATGCCATTCTCATAGCACTTATCTGTATTGCATCTATGCCTGTGTCACCATTTGTGGCCATTTCAGACTCTTTAGTGCTTTACAGGCTATACCTCATCCCCTGGTTTTTCATATCCAACTTTGGTTATGCCGTATCTAGCAAGCACAAAGATATTGTTTTTCGTTGGGTCCCTGGTCATGTTGACATATAGGGCAATGAACAGGCAGACACTGTGAACAGTACATTCACAGACTGTTTTGCTGTAATTGCTATCCACCTTTGCACCCATTGGCAACAACGTTGGTCTGATCTGCTACATAACAAATTATGTTCTGTTAAACCAAGTACAATGGACCTTCCCTTTTCATCTTTAATTCATTCCAGAGTCTCCAACGAAATGTGAAATCGACTAAAACTGAAGCCATTTTCCCCATAAGAAATAATGTAAATCCAATTAATCTGTTTCAGACATCCAAAAGTATAAAAAAATGCATTTTATAGAGACCTGTATTCCACGGCTTATTTATCTATCACAATTCATCTAATATGACACAGTAAACAATATTAATAACATAGAAACATGATATATACTCTAGAATGAATAAAATATGTCGTTATGTATGTGAGGAATAAGTGGTGGTGGTGATGTTGTTGGGTTTATAAGGGCTAATGAGAGAAACTGTACATATTAGTGGTAGTGTAGGCGGCAGCAAAAGCCACAAACACTATTCACACAACCAATGTACGTAATTTATAAATAAGAAATATTTACATTTTAATTTATATATAAGAAATATTTACACTTACTGTACCTTGGAGATGCTGACTCCTCCAATAACATTGGAGGAGTCAGTTTCGTGTCATCTTTTTTCTATCACTTAATCACTTATTTCCTACACTGTTAATACTACACTTTATCGCTGGCTGGTGCTATAACCTTTATCGAGTCCTGCTGCTTTAGTATCGTATGTATCGTAGAATCACTGAAGAAGGCACATTCTCCCCTCTCTCTTCCTCCTCCAGCTTGGTACTTTGCTACGAGATTTTTCTTGAATTCTATCGTGTTTTTCACTTTCATTATCAACGGGCTGGCACAAGCAGCTTTCTTTGGGCCCATGGTGGCTTATTTAGCAATAAACAAGTGCAAAAAACAATGAATTATTACAAAATGTTTCCTGTGGCCTCGCAGGATAATGTTCACTTACCCATAAACAAAGCGACACTGCCTCCTCAGAATGCATGTGTGGGAGGTTGTGTGCACAGCACACTTGGACATCTACCATACCACTGACGAGAATGGAGGAAAGCAACAGAAACTGAGCCAATGTTTTTTACCATACCACTGACAAGAACGGAGGAAAGCAATGAAAACAGAGCCAATAACTTTACAGAAAAAATCGGAGATAACAGAAATGAGTGAAAACAGAGCCCAACAAAAAGGGAGGGTCCACTGTATAGGTTTCTAGCCATCTTCTTCTCATAAGTGTCGAGGTTGGGAGACTACTCTCTCCCATCTTCACATCGGCCACCCTCATCCTACTCAGGGTTTCTCATGGAGAAGTGCCTTGTTCCACTCTGTGAGAATTGTTAGGTTCCAATTTCTGTTAGCCATATTCTGTTGGACTGCCCACTCTATCAACAAGCATGTAGAATTGACCTCCAACATCATCATCACCACTCTACTGCCCTTACTTTAACTTCTGTCCATTAACCCAAACTTTCTCGTTGACTTTTTAACAGCGGCTGATTTACTGCACAAACTCCGATGATGATGATGATGCCTCTAGCACTCCTCACAGCCCTTTCTACCTCAATCTCATGCTACTCTCCACTCCTGCACTATCCACTGCCCTGCTGCACTCTATGACCTAATAATAATCCGTCTCCCTCTTGATACCCAATACCCCTGCACTCTTCCCTGCCCTGCTGCACTGTATGACCCTTGTAGGTGTAGTGCTTCTTTTTGATTATAATAATAATAATAATTAAGGATTATGTCAATATTAGAGCAATGTTTAAAAATGCTTGGCCTCCAAAATCACAAAATGAACCAAAATCTGAAATATAATTTGTTATACATCAGTGAATTTGTGAATTTGTAGGGATCATTGTACCATGTAACAGCATTTTACTGCTGTTATATCTGCTTCATCTTTTTTCCTCACAGAGTTAGGATTTTTTTTTAGTATTTTGGGGTTTATGTCCATTGTTCTTCTTAAGTCCATTATTCATTTTAGAATTATTTGATTTGGCTACTTTCCATCCTAGATCATGCAAAAGCACATAATTGAAATGAGTGATAAATAAAGCCATCTTTTTAACTATTCAAGTACTGTATTACAGATCAGCCATCACTAATCCGGCAATCAGTAATTCGGTTCCATCAGTAATCCAGCACTAATTTCGGCTAGCATAATTTCAAATTTCCGTGATTGCCATACCAACCTGCCACTACTGTTTGGTGGTGCTACTTGCTACATAAGTTAGTCCAATTTCTTTTTCTCCATTTATTTTTATAACCTGCTCACTTTTAACCCTAGTCATGGCTCCAACAAATAAAAGAAATACTTCTCGATGTGTAAAGCACATACACCGTACATTGTCCCTAAAAGATAAGGTGGCTTTGAAGCCACTGTTGGTCACCATGAGCTCAGCTCACTCAGATAAGCTGTGACTGGTAAATTTGGGCCTGTGCAGTAAGTGTGCACTATACACAAAAAAAAAATATCCTGCAGCACGCAGTGCATACTGAGAAAAAATTGCGAACGTGTTTTTGGTGTAAAACAGCAACCTTGCAGTGTATTTTTGTATGGTTTTTATGGTTTTATTCTCATCGTTTTTGGTTTTATTTGATAGAGTGGAAGATATATTACAGAAGCAGATATGTTGTTGATTGGTTTCATGAAGGCAAGTAACTTGAAATTGAGCACAAAGTTCAATTTTTGCCAGTGTTCAAGAGTAAACAGATGGCATCATCATCTAATACGTGTCCAACTGGCTGGTCTAATACACGGTCACAAATGGGTTGACATTATTTATACAGTTATTACAATAATGCAGTAGTCTGCATAAAAGGAAATCGATTTTTTGTGTGAAAACATTCAAAATTTACAGCAAGAGTAATGTAAGAGGGGCCTGGAGATGTGACTAATGAACAGAGAAAATGTTATTTTAGTGCCAGGAATGTCCGCATTGTTTATTTCGGACCCTATTTTGTAATTGGCTTCTCTTGAAATTGTGTGAAATTGGCCAAATTACCAATTTTTGATCATTTTATTGAGTAGTTGAAATAGGTTAATGGGCAGTTTCTTGTACTCAATCGACAGAACTGAAGGAATGCTAGCAAAATAGCAACAAGTTTGGTAGACTGGAACAATGGAATGGGCCAAAAATAGGGCATAAATTGGGTGAAATCACTGATGCATAAATATCACCACTGGGTTAAGCATATTCTAACCTAACCACTCTGTAATCTGGCAAAATCACTACTCCAGCACCCTACAGGTCCCAATGATGCCAGATTAGTGATGGTCAATCTCTAGCATAAAACAAATTAATACATGTATCTTTTTCTTGATACTGAATTGTAGTTTAAATGGAAAATATTGTTGACTGTCATCGATATAAGATGAGCAAAAAGTTGTTCTTTAAAGTTTAAGAGATGCAAAAGTTGCTTTTGAAAATTCTGAGTTTCTTTAAGCATATGTATATTCATATCTCAGAAACTCTATCTGTCTTTTCATAGGTGTGTTTTTGATGGACCACATGAACAGTAACGATGACAATGTAAGTGGTTCTTCTCCACGTGGTAATAAGAAGTTATCCTTTAAGACGCCACGCAAAACCTCCGCTGTTGTCACCTCGGCTGGAGCAGCAACACCACTTCCTGACAGCCCTGTGCCACCACCACGTAGACCCAAGGACAGTGTTCATGTAAATCCAAGAAATAAATAGCTACATAAACTGTCCACATGTCAGTTCTGAAGTTCATGAATGGTTTGTGATCGTGTGTGTTATGGTGTTAGGTAACTGCATTATATACAAGATAGGAAATGCTGAAGCTGTTCATTAGAACAAATTCTTACCTACATTTTCTGGTTTATTCATATGCACTCCCAGATAAAAAAAAAAATCATAAATATTCATTGTGTGGGTTTAGTGACAAAACCAAATGCTCATACATGGCTTATTGATAATACATTATTAAGTTATGAAATTAAATACAATGAACAGCAAAGAAAGAAAAGTTAATGAGAAATTTCCAGGGTAAATTGTAGTCCAAAGATATGATGTACATAATTCTCAAATTTGCTAAATGTAATGTCTAGCAAAGATAATTTAAAAATAGATGAATATACAAATGCACAAAAGAACCCATATGAAGGTAATAAAATGTAAACTAAAATGAATACACGTATATTCTGATCTCACACTGATGATATATTCACAAACTAAATTATGAGGAAGAGAAGGAATTTTTAAGCATAGGCAAGGCAAGTCTCCTAAATTACTATTACATTCATGGGGAGCCCCCATGAATGTAATTAGGACAAAGGTATTCATTTCACCAGTTACCGTCATACCTTTTAAGACATTGAAATTGGATTGTGATGCAATCATAGCCAAGTAAATAATTTTGCACTTTTGCAATTTGTTTTTCTCTATATTGGAAGCTACTTCCCAGTAAATATTATGGTTTAAAGATTGTTAACATGCTGTTAAACTACTAAACTCTCCTTTGCAAATCAGTCTTATCTTTTATGTGTATTTGCTCTCGTGATTAAATTTCTTAATATTTGTCCTGTGACTGGTTACAGTATTTACAAGGAATTTCATTTACACCAGATACATTGAGAATCTTTTGTTTATTGAAAACATTGGTTACACATTAAGGTAATGAGATACAGTTTTGTTGTTGAGCTTTTACTTTAAATATTGCAATGCATGTTTTGTGGGAAAGAATTAACAATTTAGTGTCACTTTCCATTGTGTTTGTTGCTTTTATTTTCTCTGGAGGCTGTGTTTTAGGTTGTCCTCATATTATTTAGGTGTGGACACCATACTCCCTTTAATATTCTAATTTTGGTTTAACATGTGTTATGAAGAGCATTATATTGTTTAAGCATATCTCCCATTCAAATTTTTTTATGAAGGATATTTTAATGAGTTTACTAGTGTAGCACACAGGATACATACTGTTTCATTAAAATGATAATCTATTGACATTCTTTGTTACGACAACTTCTAAGCATTTGTGGACAGTACAAGTTAGAATCATGACTGAAAAAAAGCATAAACAGCTGAATGCATAGGGTTATTGTAAATAATTAGTAAATTCCTTTTGATTATGAGGTTATCAAGGAAGAGTAACCTGCCATCTTTCTCCCACTCTAAATTTATTGTTTGAAACATTCATTCAAATTTATCAAGAATATCTTTCTTCATATTCCTCTTATAAAAATAACAATAATTCAGTAACATGCCACCTCTTAAGGTTTAGTTGTTTAGAATCAATTAAAAAACTAAAAGCAACAAAATAAAACTGAAATGATTAATTTCTTGCCACAAAAGATGATTTAAAAACATGGAAATATAGTTATACTAAAACAAAATTGTACTTTGGAAACTTAAACACATATGCAGTTTAATGTGATCCTTTATTGACAACGTTTCGCCCACACAGTGGGCTTTTTCAAGTCACAAACAGATCTGTTTGTGACTTGAAAAAGCTCACTGTGTGGGCGAAATGTTGTCAATAAAGGATCAAATTAAACTGCATATGTGTTTAAGTTTCCATTGTGTCGGTATTTTATACCATTTATTTTCAAAATTGTACTTTGTTACCCATAACGAAATAAGTAATAGTGTAAGCAGTGGTTTCAAAGAGCAAATACCTTGATGTATATGCTGTATATGAAGTTCCTTGCAAAGATCAGGACCTGACCACAGGGATGATGATCCTCACAATAATCCTCAGGTTTACAGGTAATCATGTGTGCTACAATTAAGTTAGATATGCACAAAATTGTTCAGTTGTCCAGCATGTTAAGAATCATTTACCTAATGTTAACTAGAAAGTTAATGCAATATCCCCACCCCTGAAGGAGAGTGGAGGGGGATATTGTGGTTTGGAGGGGCATTTGAGCTGTAGTGTTAGCCTGGCTAAAGTGTTTCTTCTGTTTTGGATCACCCTCCCTCAGTGTGAGACAGCCAGTGTGTTAATAAATAAATATATTAATAAATAACTAGGTAGTAGGTTGGTAGACAGCAACCGCCCAGGGAGGTACTACCGTCCTGCCAAGTGAGTGTAAAACGAAAGCCTGTAATTGTTTTACATGATGGTAGGATTGCTGGTGTCTTTTGTCTGTCTCATAAATATGCAAGATTACAGGTAAGTCTTGCTACTTCTACTTACACTTAGGTCACACTACACATACATGTACAAGCATATATATACACACCCCTCTGGGTTTTCTTCTATTTTCTTTCTAATTCTTGTTCTTGTTTATTTCCTCTTATCTCCATGGGGAAGTGGAACAGAATTCTTCCTCTGTAAGCCATGCGTGTCGTAAGAGGCGACTAAAATGCCGGGAGCAAGGGGCTAGTAACCCCTTCTCCTGTATATATTACTAAATTTAAAAGGAGAAACTTCAGTTTTTTCTTTTGGGCCACCCCACCTCAGTGGGATACGGCTGGTACGTTGAAAGAAAGAAAGAAAGAATGCACAAAATTGTTCAGTTGTCCAGCATGTTAAGAATCATTTACCTAATGTTAACTAGAATGTTAATGCAATATCCCCACCCCTGAAGGAGAGTGGAGGGGGATATTGTGGTTTGGAGGGGCATTTGAGCTGTAGTGTTAGCCTGGCTAAAGTGTTTCTTCTGTTTTGGATCACCCTCCCTCAGTGTGAGACAGCCAGTGTGTTAATAAATAAATATATTAATAAATAACTAGGTAGTAGGTTGGTAGACAGCAACTGCCCAGGGAGGTACTACCGTCCTGCCAAGTGAGTGCAAAACGAATGCCTGTAATTGTTTTACATGATGGTAGGATTGCTGGTGTCCTTTTTTCTGTCTCATAAACATGCAAGATTTCAGGTACGTCTTGCTACTTTTACTTACACTTAGGTCACACTATACATACATGTACAAGCGTATATATACACACACACCCCTCTGGGTTTTCTGCTATTTTCTTTCTAGTTCTTGTTTATTTCCTCTTATCTCCATGGGGAAGTGGAACAGAATTCTTCCTCCATAAGCCATGCATGTTGTACAAGGCGACTAAAATGCCGGGAGCAAGGGGTTATTAACCCCTTCTCCTGTATAAATTACTAAATTTAAAAAAGAGAAACTTATTTTTCTTTTTGGGCCACCCTGCCTAGGTGGGATACGGCCGGTTTGTTGAAAAAAAAAAATTAATAAATAAATATATATATATATCTTTCTTTCAACGCACCAGCCGTATCCCACTGAGGTGGGGTGGCCCAAAAGGAGAAACGAAATTTCTCCTTTTACATTTAGTAATATATACAGGAGAAGGGGTTACTAGCCCCTTGCTCCCAGCATTTTAGTTGCCTCTTACAACACGCATGGCTTACGGAGGAAGAATTCTGTTCCACTTCCCCATGGAGGTAAGAGGAAATAAACAAGAACAAGAACTAGAAAGAAAATAGAAGAAAACCCAAAGGGGTGTGTATATATATGCTTGTACATGTATGTGTAGTGTGACCTAAGTGTAAGTAGAAGTAGCCAGACGTACCTGAAATCTTGCATGTTCATGAGACAGAAAAAAAAGACACCAGCAATCCTACCATCGTGTAAAACAATTACAGGCTTCCGTTTTACACTCACTTGACAGGACGGTAGTACCTCCCTGGGCGGTTGCTGTCTACCAACCTACTACCTAGGAGATATATATATATTCTTCAATTCTTTCAACACACTGGCCGTATCCCACCGAGGCAGGGTGGCCCAAAAGGAAAAACGAAAGTTTCTCCTTTTACATTTAGTAATATATACAGGAGAAGGGGTTACTAGCCCCTTGCCCCTGGCATTTTAGTTGCCTCTTACAACACGCATGGCTTACGGAGGAAGAATTCTGTTCCACTTCCCCATGGAGGTAAGAGGAAATAAACAATAACAAGAACTAGAAAGAAAATAGCAGAAAACCAAGAGGGGTGTGTATATTTTGGCTTGTACATGTTTGTGTAGTGTGACCTAAGTGTAAGTAGAAGTAGCAAGACATACCTGAAATCTTGCATGTTTATGAGACGGGACAAAAGACACCAGCAATCCTACCATCATGCAAAAAAATTACGGGCTTTCGTTTTACACTCACTTGGCAGGGCGGTAGTACTCCCTGGGCGGTTGCTGTCTACCAACCTACTACCTAGGAGAGATATATATATATATATATACATATATATAATATATATATATATATATATATATATATATATATATATATATATAATATATATATAATATATATATATAAATATATATATTTATTTTTCCCTTTCAACGTACCAGCCGTATCCCACTGAGGTGGGGTGGCCCAAAAGAAAAAACTGAAGTTTCCCCTTTTTTAAATTTTTAGTAATATATACGGGAGAAGGGGTTACTAGCCCCTTGCCCCCGGCATTTTAGTCGCCTCTTACGACACGCATGGCTTACAGAGGAAGAATTCTGTTCCATTTCCCCATGGAGATAAGAGGAAATAAACAAGAACAAGAATTAGAAATAAAATAGAAGAAAACCCAGAGGGGTGTGTATATATATGCTTGTACATGTATGTGTAGTGTGACCTAAGTGTAAGTAGAAGTAGCAAGACTTACCTGTAATCTTGCGTGTTTATGAGACAGACAAAAGACACCAGCAATCCTACCATCATGCAAAACAATTACAGGCTTTCGTTTTACACTCACTTGGCAGGGCGGTAGTACCTCCCTGGGCGGTTGCTGTCTACCAACCTACTACCTAGGAGATATTTATTATTTTTTTTTTTATTATCACACTGGCCGATTCCCACCAAGGCAGGGTGGCCCGAAAAAGAAAAACTTTCACCATCATTCACTCCATCACTGTCTTGCCAGAAGGGTGCTTTACACTACAGTTTTTAAACTGCAACATTAACACCCCTCCTTCAGAGTGCAGGCACTGTACTTCCCATCTCCAGGACTCAAGTCCGGCCTGCCGGTTTCCCTGAATCCCTTCATAAATGTTACTTTGCTCACACTCCAACAGCACGTCAAGTATTAAAAACCATTTGTCTCCATTCACTCCTATCAAACACGCTCACGCATGCCTGCGGGAAGTCCAAGCCCCTCGCACACAAAACCCCTTTACCCCCCCCCTCCCAACCCTTCCTAGGCCGACCCCTACCCCGCCTTCCTTCCACTACAGAC